ACCTTTTCCTTCATGCTATCTGACATGTATCCTGACTGAGTTTCACAAAATGTCCACCTTTTCTCTCATATAAATACCTTTAAGCCCAAGGACTTTCTACAGAAAACCAAAAACCAACTAAAAAACAAAAACAAAGTCAAAATACTTCAAAAGTGGGTCCTTCAAAATATTTTAAGATGTGGATTTAAAGAATTTACTGAGCATTTAAACTATAAAACTCCATAATATTCCAATTTAGAAAGTGATAATGTCATGATTAAAGGTGAACAACGTATTTAACAGGGAGAAAAATAACTGTTCTCACTTCCAGGAACTCAATGTTTTCAGCTTATTTCTATTGGAATATTTCCGCTAACTACAGAAAATACATATAAATTATCTCAGTTTGAAAGAATAATAAACCATTGTTACAACCAGGAGCACTCTCAGTTTCAAAAACAGCTTTGTTCTAACAGCTCTCTACTAGAAAATAAGTAGAATGGGAAAAAAAGTATAAACTTTAGAATGCAGTCCAGGATAGAATTAGAAATAAATTCACAAATGTTAGTGATTTGAGTTTTCTAGTGGGACAAATTCAAATTGACTAAAACCCAAGAAAATCCCCAAACCCTAAAATCAACAACAGATACTAACTTTTGTCAGGTAGAAGATGAGAATGCACAAAGGAATTATTGGTGAGTTATACTCCATTAGTTGCAAATCTAGGTGCAATAACCCTTTTGTGTTTGCTTCTAAAAATGTCATCCTGGATGCCGTTTTCAAGGAATTCAGTTTGACGTTAAAAGACATGTCATAACTTTGAGAATCTGGGCTCACGTGCCCCAGAAATCTGTTTATATAGCTCATAATGTAATTACAGCTACCTTAAGACAGATGAGGCAGAAGGCAGCAATATATTGAAAACTAATTGAAAAATGCAGTTGTCCAGAAGCACTTGTGGGGAAGAGGTCTCTGAAAAGCAGCTCAGAGCTCCAGAGTTTGAAGTGAAATTTTTGATGTTGTCACTCTCAATCTATTGAATCACTGACAGACAATCAAACCCGTCTGGCTGGCTGGCAGCTCATTTTGCTGGCAGGTGGCAAACAATTAGACACACCAATTTGTGCCTCCTGATGACATTAAAGCATGAAACTAAGTTGTATGCAGGGCCTAGTGATTTGTGTGAAAGCATTTCAAAAATAATACTCTTTGCCGTGGCAACTCATTTCAGACTGCCACCTCCCATTATGGCTTTGAGCAGTGAAGACGACAGACTTGAGTTACGTTCGGGGCAAGGCCGCTTCTGTTCAATCCGTCATCAGCGCCCCCTGAGACCTCAATCCCCTCCTTTCATCAATATCACCTCATCATTTACATTCGATAGTGCTTGAACGGCTGCATACATTAACTGCACAGAAGTCCCGCTCGATAAAACATGTTGGACACATTTTCTGCTTTTATGTTTCATTTATAACTGCACAAATTCTAAGAATGCACTGCAGCATGTTAGACAGTGACTTCTGTGAACATATTAGCAGCGTGCAACTGCAAGAACGTGCAGAGCAAAATGCAGCATATTAAATGATAAAATAGAATTCTTAACTTGAATGCTATTTATTGGAGTTTGCTTCATGTGTTATTTACCTACACGTGAAATGAGCAATTATAGCTGAAGAAAGCCTCTAAAACAACAAAGATGCTCTTCATTTTTTAGTAATTATTTATTACTGCAACTCTTCTAAGACACAGCCATCCAAATGTAAGCAAAAATGAGTAATAATAATAAAAATCACTAGGAATGCCTTTTGATTAAAGTGAAAAATGCATTTCTGCAATCTTGATTTGCTGATAAATACAAAATGACTGTGTGTACTTTATAAAAGCCAACAAAAAAGCTGAACTGAAACAAATAAAATGTGTCAAAATAATACACTCTATTGCTCATGATTCTCCCCAGAGAGGATAAACATGACCAGTGGCCACAAGGTTCAGTCAAGTACCAAAAGCTGCATAAACTACTGCAACAGAACCTATGGTCTAAAGACATAGCGCTAGCTTCTAAAAAATATGCAGTGTGCATTACTTTGATTATTAGTTTATAACAGTAAACACAATTCTATTTACATGAAAATGCACTGACAAGCAACTAACCTTTAACTTTTTTTCTTTTTTTTTCAGTGCTGATTAGAATAGTAGAGACCACAGAAAAAAAATCATAAATCATCACAAGCTAAAAGTCGTAATGATTTCTTAGGTCATATTTTAATTAAATCTGAACAATATAATTAAATATTATTGAGCAACATTTGTTTCACATTCCCCATAGAAAATTTCAGGGTAGGGATCTCAATCTGATTCTCCTTTGTAACTTTGTAAAGAAAAGCAAAAAAAATCACCTATCTTTTACCTCTACAGATTACCACAAAATCAGTGTAAGTACTTTGAAACCACGAGCAAAGCACACTGATAACGATGTATAAACAATGGTCAGCATTCAGGGATGTAGCCATGAGATCCAAACAGCAAGTTGATGTCCTGTAGGCTAAGAACACTAGTGTTTTTATGACAATACCAGCTGTTTAGTAATATCCCTTTAATTGTGGAGGTAAGAATGCAAGGCTCCTTGAGTCTGTGGGACTTGCCCTAACCTTCCAATGTTTTCTTCACAGTTGTAGGCTATAATAAATTATATGATCTATCTCACTCAACAAAATCAGACAGCAACATGTCCTATTAAAGAGAAAAAAATGTTCTAACAAAGTTAATACAATGGTCTTCTTTTTTCTCAGCTTTAACAACTACTTTTTTTTTTTTTTTCTTTTCTGAAGAAGTAATACCAAAGGCTGATGTGGCACAACATACACTACTACCAATATGCAAATAAAGCTGTACGCCTTGTACAGGTAATAACAGAATCACAACTTGGTCAGCAAGATAAGAGAACAGATAAGAAGAATCAAAGAAAGCAAGCAGTGAAAAAAAACCCCAAAGCTTCTAAGTCCCAAATGAACCTATTAAGTATGAGGTGTCTGTTAAAATGTGTAAACTCTAGCCATACAGCACGTCTCAAACAATTCCATAGTTCTACAGAATTATTTTTGAACATCTATAATGATGGTCCTTGTTTCAAGAAGAATCTAATTTCCATTTGTGCAAAAATAGAGGTTATAGTCAACCTAATGCAATCCTCTCTATGTAGTATTTAATGCTTTTTAATAAAGCTGTACTTCATGAATTTAAACTCATCATTCCAATCATTTTGATGTTAAGTTCCCTCTAAAGGCTACGAAGACATCTGATAAGCTAATATGCCATGTTAATTTAGGTTTCTATCATCTTGTGAATTAATAATAAAAATCTGAATGGAGTATTTTTTTGATTAACCAAAGTAGAAATTATCTGAATAGGTTCCAGTAAATAAACTTTTTTTGTTCTTACAGTTATGCGCTTTTAATTCTGCATTCACCATAAATTTCTTTACTTCTTAATGTACAGAAAGACATTTCTGAAATTTTGGAATATGATGGTTCCTCACATAGGATGAAAGAAAAGATTCCTGATCAGAGGGGAAAAAATATTTTTCACTTCACACAGAAGTCAGTCTAAAATTAACACTGGCACACTGATGAACAAGAAATATCCTCTTAATGAAGCACTTGCTATGTAAGCTTTCTCTGAAATGGCTATAAGAGCTAAAATAACATCAGAAAGGGTGATATTCATTGCAAGTAGGGCACATTGCACTGTTCCTAACTCAATCCAATCTTCTTTGTAACAACAGATGTTGATTGTTTATTGAATTATTTTGGAAAAGCAGCCTCTGTACTAATCTATACATATAGACAAAAGTCATCAGCTTTTCTATGCAGTTCATGATGAAAAAGTGCTTCACTTTTGTTCCAAAGTTCTCATGCATCTTCTTGCACTTTATTGTTTATGCTGGAAACATTGATTATATATTGTTATTTTTTAAGACTTTAATGAAAACAATTCTGACATTTTTGTAGGTCTTCTGTAAATGCAGATGGATTTTTTTTTTTTTCTTATAAATCATAACATGGCTGTTCAATTGTTTCAGTTTTCCTTTCCTTTAGAATTTTATTTATTTTTGCTACAGGAGGAACTGATGTTTTAACAACTGTCCTGTAAGGTTCGAGATATATTTTGTATCTTTAACTCCTCCTATTTTCTGTTCAGAATTAAAAAAAAAAAAAAAAAGAAAAGAAAAAGAAAAAGGTTTTACAAAGAAACTGCAGGAATCTTGTTATATCAGAAAATTTAATCACATCAGCACAAGTTAAATCTTTGCAGGGCTTAAGGTTGATCCCACAATAAAGCAGGCTACGCTTCTCCTAGAAGAATGTTGTCAGTTGCACATCTTACCCTGAAATGAAACTGTGATAACTGAGATGGGCTGGATATTTAATGTAAATTATTTCCATTAGAAGTTTGGAATCTACAGCCCAAAAAGCAAGAAAAAAGAATTCTGTGTGTAAATGTTCAACTAGTCAGTATATATCTTATATATACATATATCTTAGATTTATATCTTATATATCTTAGATTTCAGCTTATTTCCTTTTTAAAGACATAAGTCTGGTTTCCACTACAACTATACAAATCATTTGCCATGGCTGAAGTATCTCAGTGCTAGGAAAGAAGTGATGGATCCAGGATTTAAGCCTTCGAAAAAATATTTAACCAATTTGTTCTGTATCAGCAGATACTACTCTCCCTATTCACTAAAATGTTGTTTTAAAAGAAAAATAAAAGATTTAACTGTAATAATATTTCTATAAAACGGGCTTCTTTTACTATTAATTTGGAGTTATATTCACTGCTGTCAGAGGAAACCAAGGTGAATCACTTTTGTCTGTTCTATGCAGTATAATTTGCTGAAAAAGAAAAGGTGAAGTAATACAGCAATTTTTAACAGACAAATTTAAAACAATAGCAGAATAACAATGTTTGAAAAATTCTTCAAATTCAATCAATATAAAATAATGAATGCAGCCATATACCTGTCAAATGAATGAAACTGCATGGGAAGAATAGCCTGAGCTTCTCTCTTCAGAGCAGGATCAGGGTAAGGGATTGGATCCGGACCACATTCTGCAATTTCAACTGGGGCTGCCACGAGACTTTTCAGTATTTCCTTGACATTGATGCCTTTGCTTTGGCTGATACTGGATATCGATGATGAGGTTTTCAAGATTTCACTGGGGCTTTCAGTTAAGCTCTCCTGAGATTTCTTCACTTCTGAAGACAGAGTAGACAACAGTTCACTCATAGCATCAGGGCCTGTGCTGGTCTCCAAGTCTGTTCCATTCAAAATATTAGGCATCTGTTCTTCACCAATTCCTGAATCTGTATGAGGAATAGAGCTTTCCAGCTGAATATCTTCAACTGGTGTTGGTGTTTCTTTATCTTTGATGTTTTCTGGAAACGCAGTTGGTGTCTCTGCAGTGAAATAGAGATTTTGAATAATATTTAGTTACTTTTTATTTTTTTTTTCCTAGAAATATAATTAGGAAGCTTTGTAATACAGAAATTTCTATTAGAAAGCCTACAAATATTAGTAATTTAAGCCTGAATACTCATTCTGCATACAAAACATTTTGGTTTGAACACCTCTTTTGCATATATAAAGACTTGTAAGGGAGAGCCCAAAGTACAAGCTCAGTTATATTTTGATATTACAGCCCACAACTCATACAGTAATCAAATACCAGAATACTGTCAGGAATAACAGGAATAACAACATTACAAATCATAACTGATAGAAACTGCATACAGGTATCACTTGTGAGGTTACTGTTAAAGAAAAATGTAACCACTTATGCTTCAGGATTACTACAAAAACATAGGATATGTATGGCTGACAGCAAATCTTAAGCTTGTATTCAAAAGAAAACTGCTGGATATTTAGTTTGCTTTGTCCTTTTGTTTAAAATGCACGTTATACACATTTTACACACGTGGATTTACATTAAATGCATTAAATTCATTAAATTTACATTAAATTTATTTGTACATGAATAATAAGAAAAAAAAAGATGCTATTATTCATTTTTAAAATAACTCCCTTCACTACAAAAGGCAAAATTCTGGCAAATTTTAAGAACAAAATAAGCTCAGCTTCATAGAGATGGGAAGACGGGAAAGTGAAATCTGCTGAGTTTGGAACATATCCAGATTGAAATGGACTTTACAACATCTTGTAACTGAGAAGGCATACCTCTATTTATTATTGCAGTGAAACAGACAAAAACTTCATTAGATAAGAATAATTTTATATAATCAGAGGAACGTTAGCAAAAGTGATTAAACTGCACATTTGTCTTTTCTTTTTAATAAACTTGCATTCAAAATCACTTAAAAAATTTCAAACTACATTATTTTCATTGAGTCAGTTGCACTGATAAGAAAATGCAGCTCGCTGGTGTATGAAGGATGTACACTTTTTGAGGGGATGGTTTAAAGACAGTTAGTTTAGATATTTTGGAAATATTTTAGAAACATACAGAGATTAAACTTTGCCTACCTAATTATTTCAAACAAAATATCCGTCAATAATATAGCTTTAATAACAAGCATATAGCTAATTACTAATTCTGTAATACAATCAGCTGTAAAAAATCTACGTATTTACCACCAGGACATATGTGTCTGTGTGTGCACATACCCAGAAAAAAATCTTCCATGTAAGATTACGTATGTGTTTGTAACAAATTCTACTGTAAAATGAATCATACTTACAAGTGTTGACAAACAAATACAGATAGAAAACAATAGCTTTTAAAAATACAAAGCATAATGGCCCATTATATGGTATATTGTTTTCTTTTAACAGCCATAAAAGCTGAAGCCACTTCCTCCTTCTCTTGCTCCTAATAGACTTAAACACTTCTTACCAAACAGACATGTGCCTTGTTTTCCGAGGCAGGAAGTAGAAACAGGATTTATGAGCTGCATTTGATGCACTTAGCATCTGCTGGTCAGGAAGTAAAAAATCCAATACTACTTAGTACTGCCCATATTTGGCACAGAGGGACATCTGATCCACAGCATGAGCCTAATGAATTTTCTGCTTGTTTGTCTCTTTATACTTCACCCATCTAAAGACAACACGTTTGAACCAACAGAGAACCAAAGAGTAGGACTGATTGTAGCAGATGACTGCTGCCCTATTTAAGCAGGAATTGCACCTCTGTGCTGAATATTCTACCTGCTTGGGGAGACAGCTACATAAAACGCCAAAAGGCCAGGACAGAACCCACAGCTTACAAATGCTTGGTTATAATTACAGGAGCCATGGCATTGTATATGAAGTTGTGGCTACTTTATGATAATTCAGACTCCGATTTGAACAGCTTGAAGCTGTTATTGCTAATAAAGAATGTAAAAACAGTGTCTGTAGCTTTAGGGAGCAAAATGTTTTGACTCCTTGAGAAAAAGATTCAGATTACAAAAGCCCCAAAGAAAATATTATAATTGCTTAAAGCACAGCTGAAAAATTAAACACATGAATTGGGCCTAAAAGAAACTTACAAGGGAAAAAATATATATAACAAAAAAGGTAATACAGCTTTCTCTGCTAATTATTCAAGTCCAATAGTAACAGGAAGAAAAAACTGCTGAAAGTGAAATGAAGGTATATTGTAATCTATATAAGGTTCTAAATAAAATAAGGTTCCGCTGTTATATAATTAAAGAAGACTATACATAAATGAAGGTACATTATATGGCAGAGTTAGGGTACATTTACCCTCAATTTTCATTAAGGTCAGTGATGTCCAACACAAAACCAAAGGCAGTAAAGCTCATGGAAGTCTTCTGGAAATTCAAATGTTCCAACAAAACCAGAAGTAAAATTTAAATGTATCAAAACTGTGGGAATTAATTGACTCCAAACCAATTTTTTAAAAAGCAGTTTATGAAATTAGTGATGTAATTGCAAGTATTTTTTGCCAGACATGTAAGTGGACACAGCAACACATGACCGGAGAATACCAAACATGTTTTTTCCTGTTATGAAACGGTGGGGAAAAAAGATCTGGATAACTACAAAAGTTCAACAGTAAGCAAGATTTCAGGATTTATTTTGGAGAAAAATATAGTAATGGAGTAGAACGCCAAAACGCTAAACTAAGAGCTTTCTTAGTATTTATTGTCAAACAAAATACAGCCAAAGAAGTAAATTACAGCAAAGCTAGAGTGTCACAAAATATGACTGATAAGAAGGGCCTGGACACATCAATCACTGGGTAATTATTCATTATCAATACCACACTGTCAAGGAAAAGGCAAACATGATTCCAAACTTTGCTGAAAAAAGTAATTCCTAAAACAGCTCAGTATTAATGGCACTAGAGAAGACTTTGGTAGTTTCATTATGGAATACTGTACGCACTGCCCTATTTCAGAAAGATGAAGTGCCACCATGCAGATCCATTCTTGGACGAAAAAAAAAAGCAACATATTATTGCAGTAAAAAAATATTTTAAAAAAAAGCTCGGCTGATGCAGTCTGGCCAGAATAATGCTGGAAGTGTACATAGCAGTAGTTATTCAAATACTTTTTTGGAGGCAAATTCCAGAAATATAATTTAAGTTAGATGAAGTGCAAACTCACTATGAACAGCAATCTGAGAAAACTGCATAAATCCAGTGCATTAACTCAATTTTCAAAACATCAGCAAGCATCCTACAGGTTCAAAATGTCAAATTTACTTTTTGTAAATCAAAACAAAATAAAATTCAGAACGGATAGAACTGATTCATATTTTTTCTCAAATAAGTATTGTTGCAAAGTAGTTTTTGTGATTCAGAAAAATCTGTCTAAAAATGCATATCATCATAATCATCTGCATTACTGTAGGTAAATTCTAAGCTCTTGAGGATGGGTCACAGAAAACAACAAATCTGATTTGCAGCAATGCAGATACGTTTTATTCTTCATTTATAATTTGGGATAGCACTCCTGTAACTTTCAGAATTCAGGACTAAGGAATCAGTAGTTCATGTTGTTATGCATTAGAAATCTTAAACCTCCAATGCTTACGCGTTCATAAAAAAATCCAAAAAACTCAAAGCAACTTAGCAAACTGATAATTTTAAACATGAAGAGAAACAAAAACGTAACTGGTTACATCTGTTGATGTTAGAGCATTCTGACAGTAAGCTTGGAAATTTTCAGCAAACCTCATCAGTTTTGTGCAGCACTAGGCCGTGTCAGTAGACAAAGCAGAAACATTACTAGATCTAGTGATCTTAACCCTGTCAGAAACACGCTGTTGAAAACCAGATGCCTTCTCCTTACTGTTTTTCATTGTAACTAATGAGTTCATCTACTACATTATGGGAAAAATATGGGCTTAAGGTAACTAAATGACATATTGTATATCTGTCAGTCTCATCCGTCACACTCCTTGCCTAAAATATCTTGTTTGCTTGTGATTTATGAAGTGTATTGCAATTGTTTTAACTATCTGAGATAGCTAAACAGTTATTTCACTGCCTCTAAATGCCTGAACAATGCAAAACCTACTCCGTTTATTCCACAATAAGGAGACATTTCGTGTTGATGGCAAACACATAACATTTTGCCACTATAAAAAAATCAACAACACAAAACATTCTGGTTTGAATCTTTACTTAAAAATGGAGAAATTGTGTACATATTCCTATGGCCTTTTTTTCTTTCTTGACTTAAAAAAAACCATCCTACACACAAATAAGATGAAAAAAAAAAAAAAAAAAGAAAATCTTTAACTGCTTACACTATGGCTGAATACATTACTTTCCAACTCAAGAAGTAATGTATATGAAAGCTGCACTATCGCTGTCATCATTTGTCTAATGCAAGCAATGTAGCAACATTTGCTAATGGAAGCTGTGGGGGCAATTCAGGAATAAGAGTTGTTACCGCCTTCCAGTCTGCACATGTACTAGAAAATGTATGCACTGTTCTCTGTACATCTTTTATGGCACTGATAATTACCTTATTAGGTGCATTTCAAATGCTCCTCCTCAGTATTCTACAAATTTTCAGGGGGCATATGCTGCAGGCTGAAGACACTTTCAGGCCATCAAGGCCATGATATTACAGCTTCCTTCAGAAGTGGCAGAGTCAACTAATCAATGGCCAAACACTTGGCTATAAAGAAATATGAAAATCTTCTTCCTAGAAACACTGATCTACTAGTTTTTGCACAGGAGAGGTGGCACAATTATACAGAAATGAAGAACTAAATATGAGGACAGAATCAAAGAGTAGTAAGGATTTGATTTGAAACTAAATGGAAATACAGTCAGTCAGAAGCTGAGGCACAACAGTGAGAAGAATCACACTAGAAGAAACATTAGTATTCCAAGCTGCTATATATTCACTCAGTAACTTTGGTCCTAATGGCATTTCTATTTCTATATGGAAGTTACAATAGGACATAGGAAAACAAA